ATAGTAGCCTGGAGTACAATTTGGTGGAGGGCATTGAATAAAAATAAGGGGGCAGTGGAAGCATAAGGAAAGAGAAGAGAAGAAAATTTTGAAAAACTGTTTGTACCTGTTTCATCTGTTTTGTAACAGAGTTAAAGTCACAGTGATTACATTATTTTCCAAATAAACACACAAAATGCAAGTTATAACTGATCAGTGGTCAAGTGCGAAGACAGGTCGTAATAAGCAAGTGTTGGCAGGTGAGCTTGTTGGGAAGTCAAGCATGCATTGGCAGGAATATGTGCATGTAATGACTTGTTTACAATATGATAATATATATATTATATATATATATGGTTACATGACACAATATTGCATCATGAAAATTTCAATGGAGGAAAAAAAACACAAATTCACAATAAATTATTAAATTTAAGATGCATCATTTTTTAAAAATAATTCAAATTTTAAAAAAACATTAAAGGGTTAAAGAAAGTAGATTTCCAGGGAGTGCTGAGTAATTTTTTTTCTTAAAGAGGGCAGTAGACCAAATAAGTTTGGGAACCTCTGCCTTAGCACATAGTCAACCATGTAGTGTTGGGATGTATATATATTCAAAACATAAGTATTTAGACTCTTATCTTTTGCAATAGTTCCTTCAGTTCTATATCTAATGAGGCAGGATAGTTCCTAAATAAATTGGGCACTGATGAGCAGCTATGTTGCTATGGTAGTATTGACAGGGTATAGGCCCAAGCTGAGACCTTTGCCCCTTACCCCAAAAAGAATTTGGGTCCCATTTGTCTACGGGCCTAGAAAACCCCACCTTGGACTCTCCTTGAACTCTCCCACTTGGTCAAGGAAGTCTCTAGAGGTCACCTGAGGCTATAATCTTATCAACTGGCCTTTCACTATCACCTACACCCAATCTTCCAATTCTCTATTACTCTTAACCTAACCCAGCCCTCCACTGCCTGTTACAAGGGAATGGCCCCTGGCTACTTCCCACCCTTGAGCCTATCTAGACCCCACTCTATCTCACAGTCACTCCCATCAAGATCCTCCCTAGACCCCTCCTCCAGTCACCCCAAACTACTTGGTCACTCCTAGATCTCTCCCACAGTCTTTCTGTATATAAGGTCCATCTTGTCTCCATTAAGATGCTCAGATTCTTAAGGGTCTAGCCAACGGCTCAGATTCTTTAAGAATCTAGCCATGGGCTGAGACTTACTCGAGCCCACTTGTCAATACAAGCATCACAAATGTTTAGATTTCTTAAGAGTCTGGCCAATATGGCAGATCTTTAACAAAACTTGTCTTTGGCTGAAAGAAGGCTGGGGTCAAATTCATTCGAGCAGGACCCGTGTCTCTTGTTTTCGATATTTCGGGGTCCTGGCACCACTAAACTTCAACAGTATCATTATGATAACTGTGCTTGTATAGTCTAAACTCTCCAGTTAGGCTACAGTATAGGCTGAGATCCTCATTCCCATGTTACCTTTTGAAATGTGGCAAGAAAGGCTGCCACTCAAAGTCTCTGAGATTAAAATGGTAGCAGCTTTTTCAGGCTGCTGTTTTCTTGCTCATTTGCCTTTTTTTTCTTTTTGCTCATTTGCCTTTTTACCAAAGAAAGAAAATGGGTCTAGGGATATCTTTTGCACAGCCTATGGAAGATAACACTAGCCCTCACTACACTCCTGTATTTTTATCCCCCATCTCAGTTTTGCCGAACAAAATATCTCTCACCTTTGAAAAGGGAAATCCTTTCTCTCTCTGTCACAAACCATGCAAGACAAACCAAATTAAGTATTTATGGTCATTAGCATTTATCAATGTATTTTAGATAACACAATGAAAATAAAACAATTTTTAAAAATTGAAACCCCCAGGCAGCTAGGTGGCGCAGTGGATAGAGCACCGACCCTGGATTCAGGAGGACCTGAGTTTAAATCCAGCCTCAGACACATAACACTTACTATCTGTATGACCCTGGGCAAGTCATTTAACCCCATTGCCTAACCAAAAATAAAAAAAAAAACTTAAAAAAAAAATGAAATCCCTTCCCCACCTTGACTGCTCTGACTTGTCTAGTCTCTTTAGAGCAGTGGTGGTGTCAAACTCAAATAGAAACAGGGCCACTAGAGCAAAGAATGTTTTACTTGTGAGATCTATGGGGAGGGGAAGAATTCATGACAAAACAAGAGATAGAGAGCATTATAAAATGTAAAATAAATAATTTTGACTATATGAACTTTAAAAACTTTTGTACAAACAAAACCATTGCAAACAAGATTAGAAGGAAAGCAGAAAGCTGGGAAACAATCTTTATAGCAAGTGTCTCTGATAAAGGCCTCATTTCTCAAATATATAGAGAACTGAGTCAAATTTATAGGAATGCAAGCCATTTCCCAATTGATAAATGGTCAAAGGATATAAACAGGCAATTTTCAGAAGAAGAAATCAAAGCTATCTGTAGGCATATGAAGAAGTGATCTAAATCACTTTTGATTAGAGAAATGAAAATTAAAACAACTCTGAGGTACCATATCACACCTATCACATTGGCTAATTTGACAAAAAAAAAGAAAATGATAAATGTTGGAGAGGATGTGGGAAAATTTGGACACTGATGCACTGTTGGTGGAGTTGTGAACTGATCCAACCATTCTGGAGAGCAATTTGGAACTATGCCCAAAGGGCTATAAAACTGTACATACCCTTTGCTACAGCAATACTACTAGGTCTGTATCCTAAAGAGATCATAAAAATGGGGAAAGGACCTACATGTACAAAAATATTTATAGCAGCCCTTTATGTGGTGGCAAAATATTGGAAACTGAGGAGATGCCCATCAATTGGGGAATGGTTGAACAAGCTGTGTTACATGAATGTAATGGAATGCTATTGTGCAATAAGAAATGATGAATAGGCAGATTTCAGAAAATCCTGGAAAGACTTGTATGGACTGCTGCTGCATGAAGTGAGCAGAACCAGGAAAACATTGTACACAACAACATGATGTGATGATCAACTATGAATGACTCAGCTCTTCTCAACAACACAATGATCTAAGCCAAGCACAAAGGACTCATGAAGGAAAATGCTGTCCACATCCAGATAAAGAACTGATGGACTCTGAATGCAGATCGAAGCATTTTTTTTCCATTTACTTTTTCTCATGGTCTTTTAAAAAATCAGTTTCTTCTTTCACAACTATGACTAATATGAAAGTATTTTTTACATGATAGCACATGTATAAACTATATTAAACTATCATTTTCAGAAGAAGGGAGGGGATGGAGGGAGAGAGAAAAATTTGGAATTCAAAATCTTGTAAAAATGAATGCTAAAAATTTCTTGATATGTAACTGGGGAAAAAATAAAATACTATTTTAAAAAAGAAAAAAAAAGGAACAGGGCCACTGAACTGTACATAAGGATCTCTGTAGGCCATATATTGACTTAGAATACCACATATTAATTTTGATAAGTTGATCATTACAATTATTTCATACGGTTATGGACTTTTTATGATGTCTTCTTTGACCAACTCAATACTCAGGATATTATTAATTCTTTATCTAAGTCTATATTTTTGCTTTGTATTCTACCACTGTATTTATTGTGTTATGGTATGTGATATTTATTTTTAGTTTTGCTTTTTTACTTTTATTTATAAATTTTCTATGTTTTATTATATTTTTATTAATTTGGCTAAATATTTACTGATTACATTTTAGTCTGATTTGTTGACACTGGAGGATTTTGGCCTTCATGGGGACTTCAGACTGCAGTGTTTGACACTTCTGCCTTAGAGGGCAAGGGACAAAACGAAAAATTAAAGGGTTCTTTACTAGAAGTAGGAGAATTTGGTTTCCCTTGAAGAGGGAAAGAGATTAGGAGAGGATGACCATCTCAACCTCCTGGATTTCATATTGGTCAGCAATCCAAGTTAACATCTTGTCCTCCCAGCTCATGCTTGGTCATCACTCTAAACTATGTTCTAACAGCCCCCATCAGCTCCAATGACCGAAATTGTGCTGGGCTATCATAGTTCCTTCCAGTTAACACTTATTACGATTTCCTCACGTCTTCCTTTGCACAAACCCATTCCAATCTGGGCTGATCCCCTAAACCTGGAAAAGGCTGGGTAAACTCTCCTAGTAATCAGGTCAATTCCCACACCCAAGTCTTTCCAGGCATTGTGCTCTGTCGGTAGGGCCAAAAGGCAGGCATATATTTTTCCTTTTGTTTAACTATTAGATTTGTCTGTCTCTGAGAGAGGAACATTAAAGGTTGCTACAATAATTTTTTTAAGACCCTTTTTTTTCAAAGGCTATGACAATCTTTCCAAGCGTATACCAAGCTGAAAGGTTTAAGTATCGATGGAAGTGATGAATTGCAAAGGTTTCTCCGGAGGACCAGAGTAGCTAAAAGTTGAGAGGTTCATCAGCATTTTGGCCAGCTCAACTCTCCAAGACCAACTACCAATACCAGGGTTGGCACCCGAGTATGCGAGTTCTAGTCCCGGGTCACTGTGTGACTTAGACCAGGTTTATTCCCGTCTTTGGGCCTCAGTCTCTCAGCCCATGCAATGGGGAGGTTAACCCCAGGGCAGCTTCACTACCAGGACTGCTGCGGGCTCCGAAAGAGAATCGACGAAGAAGCGCTTTAAAAATTAACTGGTTTGTCCACTGTCGGACGCCGTAGGAGTGGAAGAGCTAAACTAGGACGGCCGATCCTAGTCCAGGAAGGTAGGGGAAGAAGGCAAAAAGCAGGAGCCGGCGTAAGACTTCTGCCACCATTTTGGAACTGGGCGGCGGCCCCCACCCCAACCCCTCCCCGCTAGGAAAGGGCGAGCCAAAACGGGCCGAGCCGCCATTTTCCTGCCCCGTAGCGAGCTAGAAAGAGGGTCCTCTGACTGGGCCGGCGGAAGCCTCGCGACAGTTGGCCTCTGGCTGCGCCTCGCTTAGTCCCGCTCAGCAGCGTCATGACGTCGACAAAAGGCGCCGGCGCCGCCCCCGCGCTCTCTTCGCTGGTGACGGAGTCTGCGCGCGACGCGGTCCTGAGCTCTGGGAAGGAGGTAGGAGGAGGCGGCGACGGCGGCGGGGCCTGGGGCCTGGGGGTGGGGGGGGGACGGGGTGGGGCAGAAGGAATTTGAGGGGGAGGGGTGGGAGAAGGGCGTCGGCGGGGAAGAGCCGGAGGAGGGAGCGTGGTGGGCGAGGGAGGGGCTCCGTCGTTCATTCATTCATCCATTCGTATCCCTGGGTCAGGCGTGCTTTGTGTCTGGGATGGGAGGGCACCCGGCTGGACTAGACTTGGGGAGCCCCCAGTCTAGCAAGAGGCTGGCAAGAGCCTAAGGCTCGCTGAAGAAATTACTGCTGACATGTCATTATTACAGCGCGAAGTAGGCGCCCTCGCGTGTAGACAGCCACTTTTTTAAGGACCTTGTGGAGCAGTGGGACCTGGAAGCCAATAGGCGTCCAGCCACTTGCCGGCCCCGTCACTCTGGGCAAGTCCCTTAAGGAGTAGGTTAAATCAGTAAACATTGATTAAGTGCCTACTGTGTGCCAGGCCGTGTGCTAATCGCTGGGAATGTAAAGGTAAAGACAGCTCCTCCTCCCAGGGAGCTTGAAATCTGTGGGGGTGACAACGTAAACATGTACAAACATATTTTATACAAGATAAATTAGAGATAATCAACAGAGGACAGGCACTAGAATTAAGAAGGAGAGGGAAAGATTTCCTGTGGGAGGTGGGGTTTTAGCAGGGATTCGAAAGAAGCTAAGGAATCCAAAGGAGAGCATACCAGGTATAGGGGACAGTCAGTGAAAATGTTTAGAGGCGGAAGGTGGAGTGTCCTGTTTGAGGAATGGCAAGAATGATGTAAAGTGTAAGAAGATGGAAGTGAATTATAAAGGGCTTTGAATGCTAACAAATCCTGGAAGTGTTAGGGAGCCACTGGAGTTTATTGAGTAGGAGGAGGGGGGAATGACTTGGTCAGACCTGCACTTTAGGCGGGTGAATGGGGGCTGGACTTGTAGGGAGACCAACCAGCATTTTACTGCAATAGGCCAAATATTAGGTGATTTAGAGACTATCCTGGCACAGTAGCATCTGAGGAGAGTAGGAGGCATATGCTGAAATGTTGAGACCTCTGGATGGTAACTACTTAGAGCCTCAGGAAATTCTCTAAGACTGTAAATTTCAAATAGTTGTTGGATATGCTTCAGTAGAGATCATTTTCTCACATGGGAGTTTATCATACTTCCTTATATTTCCCAGTGAAATCACAGGTTCAGTCCCTATGCCTTTATTGATGGAAACCAGGCCCAGAGAGGTGAAATAATTTATCTAACAATAGCTGACATTCATATGATAGTAGAAGGTTTACAAAGTGCTTTGCCTCCCTGTCGGAAACCCATGATCAAATAAGTCTGCCATTGTTCCTGGTTGGAGTGTGTCAATCTACTCCTTTAGGGCCCCGCCCTATAACCTTCTGTACCAAAGTGCCTTTCCCTCACCACCTTTGTCCTCAGTATGTTCTTGTTAATAATAATAATAATAATAAAATAGCACTCATTTAGTGCTTTATGGTTTGTAAAAACTTTATATGTATTATCTCATTTGATCCTCCCAACACCCATTTGTGGGAGGTGCTGTTATTAACCCCATTTTTCAGGTGAGAAAACTGAAGCTGAGAAAGGTTAAATCACTTGTCCTGGGTCACACAGCTAGTGTCAGAGGCCTTCCTGTCTCTAAATCCACTAAATCCTCTATCCACATTGCCACCTAGCTGTCTCCCTTTATTATAGGCCTTCTTAAGTGAACTTTTAAAATAAAATCTTTGGATAACTACATTTTGATATAATGGTTTCCTTTGTAATCCTGTGTTTTATGAATTTAAAAACATTCTGAGGAGAGGTTTCACCTGACTATTTAAGGGGTCCTTGACACACCAAAGGTTAAGAACTCCTCCTGTGTTAGAATGTAAGCACTTTAAGGGCAGGTGCCATTTTTACTTTGTAGTAAGCACTTAATAAATGGTTTTTCATTTATTCATTCATTAATAAGGAATCAGGCCTAGAGAGATTAGAATGACTTTCGTAATAATAGCTGACATTTAACGCTGACTCTGTAATACTGATATGTCTTTTAAGGTTGACACATTCCTTGACACATTCTCTTTAATCCTCACAATCTTGCTTGAGTTAAATGCTTAGGTTTTAACTCTGTTTTATAAATTGAGGCTCAATTCTAGGGGTATAGACAGAAATTAAAGGGGGACAGCTGTGAGTTAAGTACTAAGGTATTTACTCCATTTTATAAATAAGGAAACTGAGGCTCAAAGCTGGGGATATAGACAGAAATAAAAAAAAGACTGCTCTCAAGGAGGCAATAAAGCATGTGTGTGAATAAGTATGCACAAAATGTGTGTGTGTGTTTGGTCTGTGTATGTCTATAAAATAAATACAGGCTAGTAGGCATCAGAAGCAGGATTCAGGGTGTCTTCTGACTCCCCAGTCCAGTGCTCTTACCACTACACCAAATTGAGGACAAGGACAACAGGAGAGGAAGAGACATGACTGTGGAGATTCTCAGGGAGAGAAAGCTCACCTTTTGCTGAGGGCAAAAAAATACAGAAGACTTCTTAGAAGAGGTGGTCTTTGAGTTATGCCTTGCAGCCTGGGAGGAGAGGGTATTCCAGGTGTGAGGAAGAGCCAAAGCTAGAGACCATGCCTTCCCTCAGACCTCAGGCCTCTTCCCGCAGGGGCCCTGAAATTCTTTTCTCAGCCAATGACTTGAGACAAGAGCAGGACATTTACTTTGGATTTCCTGCCCACAATATGCCATCAATCTCCTTGACTCCAAGACAGATTACCTACTCACTTCTCATGAGTTACTCCTCCATCCCACCTCAGCCACATACAAAGATGGTCATACCTTTGATCTTGCCATCACCCACTAATGACTATCTCAACAACTCCAAAATCCTCTTATCTGAACATAACTTATTGACTTTGCACTTTTCCCTGAGTCTTCTCTTATCAAACCCTACTCTATCCACACTGTGCTTTCCAGTCCCTTGACCCCCTCAGTTCTCTCACAGGCTATCTCCACTGGGGTTAGGCCTAGGGTTAGAGCTAGTTAAAGTTAGAGTTAGTCATTCTCTCCTCTTCTCCTCATCTTGACTCCCTTGGTGAACCAATTCAATTCTATACTATCCTCCTCTCTGGAATGCCTTGTCCCCCTTGTCATATCACTGATTACACCCTGCCAAGACTCCCCCTTTTGACACCTTTGTATCTACACATGTACTTCTGAACAAAGGTGAAGAAAATCACACAACCATTCTGAGTGTGCTACAAATTGTGTTACCCAACCTCAACTGGACCCTTACCGAGGCTAGTCATTCTGGAGTTCTCCTCACTATTTATCATCCCGCATGTTCAATCTGGTGCCAAGACCTCTCAATTTCACCTCTTCGACATCTCTTGAATCTGCCCATTTCTGTCCTCTAACACTGCCTGCACCCTCGTCCAGGCCCTTAGCACCGCACACCTGGACTATTGCAATAGGGTTCTGGCCGGTCCCACTGCCTCAAGTCTCCCCCCACTTCAATCCATCCTCCATTCAGCAACTAAAGTGATTTTCCTAAAATGTAGGTCGGATCTTGTCCTCCCCACCTCCTTGCCCGCCCCCCCCAGTAAAATTGCCTCCAGGGTCAAATACAAAATGTTCTGCTTGACATTCAAAGCCCTTCAAAGCTAGCCTTCACCTGCCTTCCTACACTTTACTCCCCAACATATCTTCAATCCAGTGACCCTGGCCTCTGTCTGTTCCACCAACAAGACAATCTGTCTCTCAGCTCTGGGCATTTTCTCTGGCTATCCCTCGTGTCTGGAATGCTGTTCCTCCTCGATTATACTTACTGACTTCTCAGGACTTAAGAGTCCCAACTGAAATCCTGTCTTTTACAGGAGGCCTTTCCAACCCCTTTTAATTCTAATAGCTCCCTCTGTTAATGATTTCCTGTTTATCCTGTATGAAGCTTGCTTTGTATATGTTTGCATGTTGTCTCCACTATTAGATTGTAAGCTCCTTGAGGACAAGGACTGCCTTTTGCCTCTTTTAGTATCCCCAGCCCTTAGCATAGTGACTGGCACAACACAGGAGCTTAATGTATATTGACTGATGGATTTCCTGATTTTAGTCTGCTTGTGGCCCCACTTGTGCCAGCAGAGAGTTTGACACCTCTGTCCTAAGGCATTATTATGGGCCTTTTTCTTACTGCATTCTTTTACTTGGTCATCTCATTAGCTTCCATGGGTTTAACTATCATTTCTTTTCAGAGAACTGCTAAATCTATCTAGCTGTTGTCTCACATCACCTACTTCCTGGTTGACATTTCCTATTGGATGTCCCGATTTGAGACAGACATCAGGCTCAGCAGGACCAAAACAGAGCTCATCTTTCCTGGCAAACTGATCCTTCTTCAAAGCTCCCTTATTTCTGTCAGAGGCAGCACAGTTCTCGCCAGCTCCCAGGATTGCAACCTTGGCATTGTCTCTGACTCTCCCTTACTCTACATATCCTTTCAGCTCCCAAATGTTATCCTTCCTTTCTCCGCAACATCTCTGACATCCAACTCCTTTCTACTCGAGTGGGTCACAGACATTTTTGTTCTCAGCCCAGTCTCGTTTGCCACGAGGAATCTCAGCACACTGACTGTTTAGATTGGCAGCACTTTGGGAGAGTTGGGAAACTCATTTATGCACATTTTCCCTTCAATAAGAGCGGCCATTTTTGTTCTTTACAAGTTCATGGTCTGATGTGTTTACAGCATACGTTTAATATGCAAGTTTTGTTTATTTTGTGAATAAAACGTTTTACCTGTAATAATATAACAATTTTGCAGCACACCTGGCAAAACACCAAGTATACTGACTGCAGTGCACCTTTTGAGAGCTTCTGCCCTGCTCACATTGCCAGCACCACAGTGCAGACCCTTCTCTCCCCCATCCCCCAACCTCCTGCTTCCTCTCTCTGTGTTAAGTCTCTCCCTTCTTTAATCTGTCCTTC